CGTCAAGTGATAAGAAATCAAAGCACTGGAGGGTCGAATAATACTTTCGATAACGAGTCTGGAGCAAACGGATGAGCAGATTGTTCGATGAAGCAGAAACTAGCGAAAGATTCGACAGCAGAAGATTTATCTTAGGCGAATGTAGGGGTGCACAAATGTTTTCAAGTAATGTGCAAACCCTTTCGCTCTTGAAAAACATTCGTACATAATTATTTGCTACACTTAAGGATGTTTAGCCAAAACCCACACTATTCCCCATGATTTTGATATTGTCTCATATGCCAGGTTCATATTTGAGGCACACGTTAGTAATAATCTTAATTCTTCCATCGGAGGATCCTAGTGAGAAATTAATTTCTGAAAATCACTTCTTGTAACATTGCGCTTAGGGAAGAAACGTGACCGTGTGAACTTTGATCGAGATGTTGCATGGGTTAGACACTCAAGATATTGAAAAAAAACCACAAGCCATTTACTTTAGACTATGGAGAATCTATCGCCGGCGAGAACAAGTAGGGGACCGGGCCATATAGGCGTGATATCTTCGATTGATTTTCGAATTGCTCTAAAAAAAATTTGAACGCCATTACGAGTCGAGCAACGCGACAACACCGCACAACGGCTGATCGAGGTCGGTAAAGTCGGTGACGATTATTCAGTGCTGGAAGCATATGGACACGTATAACACACACAAACATTCATCTCACTGTTACAACCCCACTACTAGCCGAAGCGTGCGATGTTGCCCGATCAAAATTCGACTATTACCACTACAGTCACAAGTCCTCCATTATCTATGAACATTTTCTTTAATTATTACTTTCGAGATCGGAAAAGTATGCCATAACACTTTTAATTTGATGAGAAAAATAATTTGTAACATGAATGATTAATTTAGTCAATTTTATTTCTATTTTCAACTGAGTTAACCACTTGATAGGTTAAACGTCCTTAAAAATCCCCTAAATTGAATTTGCCGCTGACGAACATTCTGCTAGTTTCAGCTTCATGATTGTTCGACGAGTATCTGGGAAGAGGAGGGGGTTGGAGGAATTCTTCGGGAGACCTTTTTGTGGAGGATTTTATGGACTGGGAGATTATGTTATTATGTTTCCCTGTGGAACTAGTGGTTTTAGAGATATTTTCAGAATTAGCTGTATCATATTTTTATGATTATCTTGGTTTACCGCTTTTCTACAGCATTTTGCACTCATGCACTATAATATCACTTGGGCTTCTTTTGCATTGTTTGATGAACGCCAACTGGTAACAGTAAATTCGAATTTTTGTTTGCTTGATGATGAAGTTAAAAAATTTAATTTGATAAATTGAGGGAATGAACTTGAAAAAAATTGAAAGTAGTATTTTTTTAACGCGGACGACGAAGTGGTTTCTGACTTGTCGGAGAAATAGTTCATTCGAATTGAACGAATCGGTTTATTTAAACACATTGATGAAAATTTTTGACGAAATGTCCGGCAGATTTTCTAGAAATTTTCATCACTTTGCCGTTTCACTGAAATTTTAAGGAATTTCAACATTGAAAATTTCAAATTTTACGGAAAAATTCATTGAAACTGTTAATGTTTCACAGAATGGTATTCAATTATCTTTTGTTTGTTAGGCGGGCTTCATGAAAATTCGGCGCAAGACGATTGTGCTCATGAAAACCGCCTTACTCTTCCATTCTCTCATTTTCGATTCCAGACATTAATTTAAACATCTTCGTTAAATAACATCCGTCTGAAATAAAATAATAAAAGCGTAATATCGATTATTCAAATTCGAATAGTGTGCCTTCCGGAGTGATTCCCCTGCGTTGCTGCTTGAGTAGGTGTGATCATCGAGTCGATCGTCACTCGTTGACTTTAATGGCGCTGGATTCGTGTCATGAATTCTAGTGCCGGTCAAATTCCTTTTGGAATGTGTAGTGTAGAGGCGAAGGAGGGGAGGCAAAAGGTTTAGTATTATAAGTATGCAAGAAGGCTGACCATCGGGGGTGACGGGTGTATCGCCGGCAGGAAGCTGCCAAGCGTAACGGTACAGACTTGATGGTAAAACGTGCGGAATATAGTCGACAACTTTTCGCTTCGTTTGGACAATTTCTCGTCTTATTCACTCGCCTATTCACTCGATTTTCCTCGCAACCTAACGATATTCTGCGCACTCGAGCAAATGCGGTATTTCAATGAGATGCAATATTATTTGATTTTTTTTATTCTCGTTTTGTTAATTTCAATAATTGCTCTTGATGGAAATGAATACATTCGTACATTTGCTTTGATGAACATGTTAGTATATGAAATGAATGATGTATTCATTCCAAATGAATCTTCCATTAAAGCCAAATGAATAATTCAATTTCTAACTGCAGTATTAGAAAAAAAAGGAATTTCGTGGAGATTTTGGTGATGATTTTCAGGAGAACGACAGTAAAATCGATTTAGGGGAAATAATTGTGAAATTTCATATTTTTGAGCAGCAGGAAAAGGAGAATTTTGTCATTCACTTGAATTTTCAATCAGAATTGAAATATTCAGCACCGAACAATAGAATTCTGAATTCTATACACGGAGAATAAACAGATAACCTTCCGGAAAAATTATGTGAAATGTTCTTCCGGGAATTTTTACGTAAAATCACAAAAAACCGGAGCGAAAAATAAATTTTCCCTCTCGTTTTGGCAATTTTATGGATCGAAACGTAATTTTTATGCGTCGAAACGTAATTTTTACTTGACACTGCCATACAAATTTGCGCGGAGAATAATGATTTCTAGGAATCAGGAGCACAATAACGTCAAACAACGTAATTTTTACGTGATTTCAGTGGTACTTTTTCCGCAACTTTTTGCTCCGCGTAGTTCTAGAGATAGAAATAAAAATAGAATTTTAAAAATTCTCCGAATTCCATATGAGTGATAATAATAACAATAAAGAAAAAGAATTAAGACTTGAAATGGGGAAAATTGTCTGAAATTTACTGAAACTTTTTCTGATTTTTATAAAATAATCAAACTAAAATTTACGGTTACCATTGATTTTTTCAATAAATTGTAAATTTTAAATGACAAAATTCTTTGAAATCTAGTTGAAACTGTCACTTGATAAAAATTCCCGCGAAGGACATCAAAAAGAAAAGGGTGGAAATTTCAGTCATAAATCTTAAAGCTGTAATAAAGTGTTTAATTAATCAAGAACTATTTGAAGAAATAAATTTATTCCATTCAAATAAAGTTCATTCAATTGAAATGAGCCATTTATCTGTGTGTATTTCAAATCTATTCTAAAATGTTTTCTCAACGCCATTCACCGATTTTATAGACAGAAAATAGGGCTCTCAGATGAATTTAGCGGGAATTGAGAAGTGAAAAATCTCTATTTCAGGCTGAATCATTGCGCATTCCTGGGCCTATCCCAGGTGTAGTCGCCTTTGAGCGTTTCCTCAGTACATTCTGTGTTAAAAAGATTTCTCTTGGCGATAGGAGTGCGGCGTGCGCCCCACGCCGATAGCCACTGAAGCACGCAGCCAGGATCAACGGTACTTCGTGGAATGAAATTATACCATGAGGCTCATGCACCTCCCTGTCTCTTTACCACTCAACAGTGAGAATTGCATAATCGATGGATGACTGACCGTTAACAAAACTAGTGGTGATGAATTTTTATGTCTTCTGTTTGATGCAGTTTTGATATTGTGTCACTGGAAAAAATAACTCTAATTTTCACATGCTTTTACCACACTCAGGCACTTCAAATTCATTTTTCATTGGTATCGAATATGAATTGATGCGAATGTGCTATAATTTTCATGTACAAGTGCATGCTGTGGAAAAATTACTATCCTGTATCCCAACACGAACGGAAAAATTTAATAGAAAAACCTATCGAATTCGTTAGAAAATTCTACTGAATTTCTATTGAACTGTTCTATTAGTTTTTGGCCGATTATATTGAAATCTTCAGTAGAAAAAGTCAATAGAATTCAATTCTTCTATATAACTTATTCTATTCAGTTTAATATTTCGAATTTAAGTTTATTTTTTATCTTTTGTTGATGAGAGAACATAAAAACGGGCAATTATGACATCACTTCAGGAGGAAAGGATTTTAAGGCGGAATGACACGTGAGATTTTGTTGTAAAATCACTCGTTTAAGGATATCCAAGTACTTTAACCATTTTTTCTCCAGTGAAATGCTTTTCTACTTTTGTAGTCGAACATAAAAGCCATCATTTGACCCCATTTGACCCAGAGTTTCCTGACACTTTACAATGACTTCATTTAAACCCAAAACTCAATGCAATTGCACCACGAATTTGTCACCACAAAATATAACTAAAAATCTCTCACTACATACAAAAATCAGAACAGAAATAAAGTTCAAAATGCGAAGAGAAATGTTCGACGATTCATCAAACGAAATAATACAAGTCACTCCGCTTTCAAAATATCTTTCCCAATTTCAACGTCGAGAGGTTTTGAAGGAATGAAAGAAAATTTTAGGGAAACAACAGCGGAACGAAAGGAGACGGATGGAGAGAATGAGGGACTGGAGGCGTTTGCAAGGATGAGAGGAATGCAGGCGAATGGGGTCGCTACCGTTGAAGGTAAACCTGTACACCTTTTTTTTCACCGAAGTTGTAATGTGTGGGTAATGAAAAATTTTCATCCTCAATACTAATGCAAAACACCGTTCACATGTCTGAGGTGACTAATTCATGCTTACGTTGATGCACTCGACGGTAGATCTGGGGGTCGTTTGCACAGTTGCCGATTCATCCGTGACTATCATCGTGATAGGGATTGAATTTCTGGGATTTAATTGGATGTTAGATTAACCGGAGTTTTAAGGCCTCTAAGGTTCATCAGGAGTAACGTGGCTTAGCGTAATTATTTTATCGGTGTTTTTCATCTATTTTTCATCATCACTCTGTTAATTTTGGTTTTAATGCAGGGGAGAGAGGTTTAATGCTTGAGATATGTAATTACAAAATGCAGTTTCATTTATTTATTCATTTATTGTTCATCTCGAATAAAGATGAAGGGTTTTTAAGCATTTTGCACAGTTTTCAGTTATGATGAGAGTTTTGAGGTGAAGTGGGTAATTATGGTGTGATCATTACGTCGATTGTGAAATCATGTTAAGAGTGAGGAATTTAAAAACAAAATTACATCAGTTCAATGCATGATTTAATTATTTCATTAAAGGAATTTTATTATATTTGTTGTTGTTCATATTTTGTATCTAGTATTTATTATTTGTTTGGAGAATGAAATTATGAATTTAAGCAAAATAAAGATTTTTACAGCATTTGATTTTTCAGTGGTAATTATGTCGTGATATCATAACTAAATTGTATTATCAATTTTATGATTCATTTATAATAATATAATGGGTGCTTGAATAATTTTTTTGTAAGATTTTTTTAGTTTCAATGAGTTGATTCTTGTTATTCAGTGGACGCGCTAATAATTTTTTTTGGGAATAAATTGACTTTATTATTATTTATAATAGCAATAATCATTGATTAGAAGGATTTTTATTAGATTTTCGGTTTCTATCGCCAGGACGGAGTTTCATTCATAGTTGAAGAAATATTCTTAACGGTTCTCAGAGGTTCGAAAAATCATTGGATTGAACTTTCGAAGTGGATATCGCATTCTCTGATTCGTAGATACTGAATTTCTTGGAAAAATTTTTCATTTCGGAGAAAGTTATGGAAATTGTGAACATCGGAGTTCAATTTTCAAGAGATGAATGAATAAATAAACATAGAAATGTGGATAAATGGGCGAGGAAAAAATTAACACGTGAAATTTTTAAGGACACATTACCCCTCACTTAGGAATTTCGGAGGAGCATCTGACGAAGGCGCGATGACAGACGTTTTTCGCAGTTTGAAGGCTGACCAGTGGCCTATTTGCTCTCATGTGCACCGTCTTGTTACTGTTCAGAGTAACCATGAAGAAACCGTCGAAAGACGGGACTAATGCGTCACCGTACTTTGCGATCTCACTCCGTGACAAAATAGCGCCGTCGAGGTAATCCATACTGCGACAGATTTTGACCGCTTCCTCTGTGGATTCAATGGGAGAGGGGAAACACTCCGAGTGCCAGACCCCAGAAGAGCGTTTGAGTACCTGCCCCACGCCCTTCCTGTACAGAGACAATACTCCATTTAAAAAAAAAAAAAAAAAAAAAAAAAAAAAAAAGAAAAAAAAAAAAAAAAAAAAAAAAAAAAAAAAAAAAAAAAAAAAAAAAAAAAAAAAAAAAAAAAAAAAAAAAAAAAAAAAAAAAAAAAAAAAAAAAAAAAAAAAAAAAAAAAAAAAAAAAAAAAAAAAAAAAAAAAAAAAAAAAAAAAAAAAAAAAAAAAAAAAAAAAAAAAAAAAAAAAAAAAAAAAAAAAAAAAAAAAAAAAAAAAAAAAAAAAAAAAAAAAAAAAAAAAAAAAAAAAAAAAAAAAAAAAAAAAAAAAAAAAAAAAAAAAAAAAAAAAAAAAAAAAAAAAAAAAAAAAAAAAAAAAAAAAAAAAAAAAAAAAAAAAAAAAAAAAAAAAAAAAAAAAAAAAAAAAAAAAAAAAAAAAAAAAAAAAAAAAAAAAAAAAAAAAAAAAAAAAAAAAAAAAAAAAAAAAAAAAAAAAAAAAAANGACTAAAATTTATTCCTTCATAGTTGAAAAAGAGCAAAATCTGAACTCAAAATTGAAATTTCAAGAAATATTGAGATTTCTTTTTTTTGTATTTTTGTGATCGTTTATGTATTTCATGATTGCTAATGCTCTAAAGGTGGTGTAAGCGGTCCTTAACACTTTTAGGGCAGTTAAAATTAACTATTATATATTGCAGACAATCAACCCCTGAGCAAAAAAATTCTGTCCTCTTCAATTAAATATTTAGATCATATTTGAATTCTTCTACGGTTAAATAATTTTTTTCATCCCTTTCTGTTAGCCTTTCTCGATTTTTTCTAAAGATTCTCAAAATAACATTATACAACGCGATTGGTGGAGGGGGAGCAATCAATCAGGAATTGGATATCTATGCCGGTTATATTAAAATAGTTTTGGAGGATTACAACTACTCACGGATCGTCTCGATGTCCCTTGATTGTTCTGCAGTTCATCTCGTCTGCAGCATTCTCGCAGTCGTTGTAACCATCACAAACGAAATCGGGTGGTACGCAAGGGCCATTTTGTATTGTGCTACAGAAACGATAATTAATTGAATCAATGAACAGATCGACTGAATCAAAGAACAGATGGGCTACAGATGGGCGCATGTCCCGGGAATGTAACCGACTCGAAGACGCGTCTGAGTAACCAATGAGATCGCAAAATTTTCCCGCCAATTCCACTCGCTCCATTCTGATTGGCTACGCACAGGCGTCTGCATGCCGATAGAATGATACGTTCATTGTTAACAAGATTTGTTGACTACATGATGTTCCGAAAATGATCTGTCATATCGTAAGGGCAGCTCGGAGGGGTTAAGGGCTTTGTTAAGGAGTTATTCGTGAACAGACCAAAAATCCGCAAAATCCTCCTCTTTTTGAAAATTCATAATTCTTCTCTCACTTTGTCTGGATAAATGAAAATGATGGCAATCGATTGGCCATTGAATGCACAATGATCAAATAAGGGATTTTGACTCTATTGACCCTATTGTCCCTTGCAACCTTGCTGTACCCTGTGACCCTTATGGCCCTTATGACCCTAACGGTATTATCAAATAATTGACAACTATTATTGTAATCTTTCTATTGGAAATATGATCTTTCTATTGGAGAATAGCGTTCGATCGGCTTCCCTTTTCTTCTTTGAAGATAAAAAACTCATTAGAGTTTTCGCCTCCCAAGCTACCCTCACGATATTTCGGTATACCCTGTACCAACGAATAATCAACTCGAACATGACCAAATGACTAAGTCACAAATGATTAGTCGACGTCGCCCTAAACCAGTCCTTTCTGTTAAGAATGTGATGATAACCGGCATCTCTCAATTTCCACTTACTTATTATAACATTGGAAACTCGAATCCTTGCACAAGCACTCCTCATCAGTCTCATCCGTCTTATCCCAACAATGTCGAACATTATCGCAGACCTGCCTGGGCATCGTCAACTTGAGATACTCCCCGCAAGAGCAATTCTCTGGCTCATCACTTCCATCCAAGCAGTCACGAGTGCCATCACAGAATTTCTCCTTTCCCACACACTGTCCAGTCCTGCACCTCAACTCCGTCATTCCGCAAGTGCACCCAATGCCCCCCGATCTCTCACAGTTCACCCTCCTCAGCTCACACCTCCCGTGGGCCTCGTCCTCCCCATCCCTGCAGTCCTCAACACCATCGCAAATCTTCCCCCAAGGTACGCAATTGCCGATGTCACACCTCAACCCCTCACACTCTGGCGCCTGCACAGCATCAATCTTCCTATCCATTGCCTGAGTGATATACGAATTGTAGTAATCAATGCTGGTCAGAGTCTGAGGTGTCTTGAACCCGCACATCATGTCTTTATCCTGAAAGACAGCAGTTGGATACCACCCACCCTTCCCCCTGCAAACGACAACTCCGTCCCAACTCTGAGTCTCATTTTTCCTACAAAATTCGCTGGTGCCATTGACAAAGCACCTGTGACAATTAGCACAGCCCTCGGTAACCGGCTTGAAGAAAGTTTTCCTGCTTTCAAACTTGTCATCAGTCCCCAATGCAACGCACTCATCATCATCACTCGAAGGGAAGATCAGCTTATCGTAGAAGACTGGCTTGACGCCCCTTGTCATATTGACAGGAGTCTTCAAATGAAGCAGCGAAGCTTCCGATCGTTTGGGATCAACAGGCCTCACAGAGCTCACCTTCACCACCTGCTGGTGAGGTCCATCCGCGTACCGAAAGGTTGGCGACAGTCCCACAACCACAGTAGTATAATTGCTCCTCAGGTCGAGATTCTGCGTACATCTGGGACTCGTCAGCACCCAGGCGTGCTCCAACAGGACCCCCGGACAGTGATAACGACCGTCTACGAACACAGCTGCCTCCCAGGGAAGCAGATAACTCGTGTTCACAGGATTGTTACGAACATGCTCAACCCTGTGAGACTCCACCGAACTCGTCAAAGCTGTCTGACATTTCACGTATAATCCCTGACAGGTCTTGGAGTCGTTCTTTGGGGGCATCAACACCTCGGGATATTTGTAGGGGATCAAATTATTTGGTGTTGAGTGCACAAACGTCAGAGGTTCGTTCATAACTGTGACGTTCTTCACGGACTCGTAACCCTTCAGACCCAGGTAGAAACAAATGTTTGCGGCTATGTCGCGTGAACCTTCTGCATCGTAGGTGGAGCAAACTGGCCTCCAGACTCCATTAGTGATTCTGGTCACAACACCTTCTTGGTTCAGATACGTACGATTTTCAAGGTCGTAGACGATGCGGTCATTGTTGCTCAGGGTGAAGCAGTCGAATTCGTCTTCCTTCAGGGGGCATTGAGTTTCCGTGTCGCAGACTTGGAACTTCGGGATGCAGGCACCACTTCTACTGCAGACGAACTGATCATCCTGGCATAAGGTGCAGTTCTTCTCGTCGGTTCCGTCGTAGCAATCGAGGTGACCATCGCAGATCGCTGAGGGCATATTGATCAAGAGGATGTCTCGGCAGGTGCAGCTCTCCTCGTCGGTACCGTCCTCGCAGTCGATGGTTTTGTCGCAACGCTTGTGGAGGGGAATGGTTTGAGGCATTTTGGTGCATCTGAAGTGTGATGAACCGTCGAAGATTTCGGGACGGAAAGTAGGCGGGGGGCTAGTGACTCGTGTGGTAGGGAATGATGAAGGTGTTGGGAGTTTTGTTGTATTTTCGTTTGGTTCCATTCTAGGGGTCGTTTGCGGAGGAGTGGGAGTGGGGGATGGGAATGATGGCTGTGGTGGAGGGGCTCTAGGGGATGTGGAGGACGGCTGCGGCGGGGGGGTTGGAGGGGCGATTGACGAGGGTTCGGGGAATACTTCGATGACGGAGATTCTGGGGGAGGGATTATAGCTGTTGGTGTGGGAGTTGACGGGGGTTTGGGGAGAGTTCTGGGAATTTCGTAAGTGAAGGAAAGCGGATGGGTTAGGACAGTTGAGCTCGTCGTCTGCATCGAGGCAGTCGACGATGCCGTTGCATCGACGGTTAGCGGGGAGGCATTTACCGAGGCCTCCGTTGCAGACGAAACCGGGGCATGGGAATGTTTGCACTTCGGATGGGGGGATGAAGGAAGCTGAAAAATAATGAGGGGAACTGAAGAACTGAAGATGTGAAACGCTAGGGTCTTGAGGATGTAGAAGAGGGTCGAAATCTTGAACGTTAGGCTCAGGAAAAATCCTGGGGTAAAAGCGAAGACCGGTTGATTTCACGAATTAGCAATTTTGTGTTGTGGAGGAGAGAAGTTGATTCATCTTAACTCAGACCAATCTTCCGGTCAATTTTAGATTCTTTCACGTAACATAATTTCATAATCTATGTTTGAATGGTAATTGAGAAATTACCAGGAATTTTCAATCGTTTATGTCCAAAAATAATAAGGGATTGTATCACTTTATCAATCTTCTGCTTTTGTTTTCGTAACTCCCTTCAAATTATGCTTCATCGCCGCTATTTTTAACGTCAGCAAAATTATCAGGGACAAAATGATTACCTCTTTTCATGCAATATGGTCGATCATTAAGAGAAAATGATTGAAGTGTTTGGAAGAATAAATGAAGCATCATAAGTTTTAAACAAAAGATCCCCGAATAAGACACGACTTATATTTGGGGACACAAATACCTTAAGAAAGAGGACAAAAGTGTCTAAATTTCCAACTCTGGTGGATTAATTTCAAGCATGAGTTACTTTCAAAAAAGAAATTGGGAAAACTCTGAGTCGTAATTGAAGGAACTCGTACTGACAAAGATCTCAGTGACTGTATAATTCCTTAATTCCAGGAAAATGCAATTGTTGAATAAATAAGTTGTAATTTTGGGACTTACTCCTGACGTCATCGATCCACTTCTTGTGTTTGCTGACTCTGGTGTACACTCCGGGTTCATTTTCACGTCCACAACCTTCACCATGGCTTACAACACCAGCGGCGTACCATTGATTGTCGGATCTGGGATATTTGCACATGAGAGGACCGCCGCTATCACCTTGGCATGCATCCTTGCCTCCCTGGGATACTCCAGCGCAAATTTCGCCATCGGTTCTGTCCACGTCGTGTTTGCATTCAGGAAGAATTGGGACTTCAACTTCTCTCAAATCGTCAGCTGTGAACAATTAGCGATCTATGAATCAATCTATTATATGAATTAATCAAAGATTGATTAGTTCATTAATTTATGATGTGTCAATGCAGCAGTGGAATTGAATTAAATTCTTCGAAAATTTCACATTCGATATCAATGAATATAAAATATTCATGATTACGAATAAAATTGAACAAATTGTTTCGTGAATTCATTAATACCCCAACTATCCCGAAAATAATTAATCAGTTTTGGAATGATGACGACCACGAATGATGAATCATTAATTATTCTGAATAAATCAATTCACTGGTAAATTGATCATCTACATTTTCATCAATGGATTGCTGTTCATTTCGCTAGGAAATTAAATCTCGAAATTAGCAAAAAAATCACATTTGATATCAATGAATACAGAATATTCATGATTACATACAAGATTTGACTAATTGATTCGTGAATTAATTAATTTCCCAAGTATCCCTAAAACAATTAAACAGTTTTGGACTGTTGGATTCTGTTTTTTGTCTATTCACTCACGATCAGGTCCATGCTCCACCGTAGCACCCCATCCAATCGTAATGCAAGTAGTCTGAGGTGTTGGATCGAAATTCCACATATCTTGAGGCAGACAAGTCGGTCGGATCCAGCGATTGAAGCGTAAAGGTTCGTTCAATTTAATAAGTGCGATATCATTGGCCATAGTTGCTCTATTATAAGCCGGATGAGGGACGATGTAACGAGCCCGACGCGATTGAGCCATTGGAGAGTAGGAATATCGACGCAGTAAACCGGCCTGGATCTCATAATAATGTGTCTTGTATCTGGAATTCGTGGAGAGAAGCAGTGAGAGAAATAACTCGGGAGAATTGAACGTTGAAGCAATAATCAAGTCATTTTATCGAACATTAATTGTGGATGGGAGACGATTATCTTCTTCAAAATGGTTTGTATTGCCGTCTAAACGAAATTGATTGGAGCAGAAGAATAATTGTCAAGCCATTCTATCATAATATGAATATTGATTTCATATTATGATTAACTGAACTGTATTCGAATGAAATAGTTTACAAAAAAATGAATAAATGTTTTCTTAATTTCATTGTTTAGACGACCGGAAGAATAAATCCATTAAAATGTAAGAGAGCTTCATCAGCGCTATTAAACATTTTTAGATGAAATTTGTGGTACACTTATTGGAAATTTTTATCGCATTTTAGCTACACTGAAATTTCAAGAAATTTCGTCATTAAAAGTTCTAAATTTCATAGAAACATCAATTGGGTCTGTAAATTTTAATTGCATCATTAGAAATTGCTGTAAATCAGACTGAATTTTCAATAAATTGAGAGGTTAGCATAATTCGGTAGTGAATATTCATATTTTGGTTGAAAATTCAGAGAAGTTGTGCAATTCTCGCCTTCCTAATCCTCAAAAATTTGCAATTTTAATGAATTTCGATTAAAATCTGAAATGTCATAATTCTTCATCCCCTAAATCAAATCTATATCACTCCCAAAAATTACTAGTTTACTGTATACGAAACTCCCATATTTTTCCAACAGTCTGGTTCAAATAAATCATTCATTTAATTCCAAATGCCGATTTTTTCTAGTGAATGACTCAGTTATTGCGCGGAACCGAGACATTTTCACTGCAACAAACGTGTCAGTTTATTAACATCCAACAACAATATCACTGAAATGAAATCATGCAAAGCTTCCTCCCCCAAAAAGACTGTCCCCCAATACGAACCCATCAACACAATGTGCAGCAGTCATGATCCAATGTTCATCCAGGATAACGGCCCCACAGTGGAAGTATCCATCCTTGTACACAGCCACGAGGAACGGCCAGGCCTGAGGCTGACTGGTTCTTCCTCCAACGATCCTAAAGTCTGAAGGCAATCTATCAGTCATCGCATTACCCCTTTCGGTGGTCGGGTTCTCCTTGTTCAAAGTGCGAACACCCGCCTGGTATTCCTTCCCCAATCTGTCCAAAGGGCCCTGAGTAGTCACCAAATACTTCATCTTCTGTTCCTCGACCAAAGCATGGAGAGTCTCATTCAACTCCTGGATCACTTTGGCCCTGTACTCAGCCATATCCGTCGCATCAGGCAACGACTGTCTTAAATTGGAAACAGCTCTGAGATCTTCAAGTACTCCACGAGTAGTTCTACACTTTTCGGATTTCGAGTCCTCCTTGCCCAGAGCGTTCATAGCTTCCCTCAATTTCTGAATCATTGCGGTCGTGTAATCATCAGAAGTCGGCGCACTCCCGTTGATTCCAGATGCGACGAGTGAATCCTCGTACATTCCAAAAGGCCGGTAACGATCTTCAGACATAACTCGAGTACCACAGGGAATTGGTGGACACTCGACGAAGAGTGCTTGATTGTTACAGCTTGGTATAAGCTCCGCTTCGTTTGTCGGCGTCACTGCGAGGTAGGGGCCGTGGTTCATGCCCTGGGGAATTATCTTGGCCTCGATCTTCGGGAGTTCTCTGGAATTGATGGAAGTTGTCGATTGTTATCGGCTCGTTTTTGCTTCCGAATGGAACCTTTGTGTCTATCGGATTTTTGTATTTTAGGATTTTGATCGGGAGTGATGTGGAGTGTTAAGACGTGGAGAAATTACGTCTGGAATAATTTCACACATTTTTTTGGTTTTTGTGGTGGGATTGACTCTTACCTGATTAAGGTGCCTGTTTCAGCAGCACAAGCGTCAATGGCCCATTGCTGGGATGCCACGCAGACCGGGTACCATTTTCCTTTGTGATTTTTGTGGAGGAACCCGGTTAAGTAACCAGTGAGAAAGACCTACAAACAATTTTGATAGTGTCACACATAATTTGATGAAACAAATAGATGGAAACTGTAAATTTGAGTTCAATTATTCCGCATAATTTCATTAAAATGAGGGAAATTTAGGTAAATTCAATCATGAGTTGATAATTCATTGAAAGTTCAGCGTTATATCGTACCGAATATTCATTTTTTTTCATTACAAATTCGAGATAGTTGGAGAATTCGCATTTTTCTGCTCAAAAATATGGAATTCCATGGAATGTCCAGTAAAATTAGAAATTTTTCCAACAATATCTTGTATTGTTTGTATTTTAATAATACTTGATAAGTAATAATTACATCTTGATCATTGGCCATTGATTGAGTCAGCATGGTGCACTCAACTTCGTCCCTACTGTTCGGACATTGGGGAATCCCGTCGCATCTCTGTGTCATGGGAACACAGTTTTCCCGTCTGAAGCGTCTGCTCCAGTCCTGGCAACTGAACGAGTCCGGTGGACATCCTGGAATCACAGTTTATCGGCTCAAAAGGCTGATGATTTCGGTGGTAAAGCGGTCAAACGAGCGAGGTCGAACGTGAAATGTCTGTTAATTACGTAATTACTCAGGACGTCGGCGATTGGAGAGCGAAATATCCGGAAACTTTTTTGTGGCCAAACATTTGCAGAGGGCAGATGATTAAAGGTGACGATAGAGATTTTTCATTCGTTCATAATTTTTTTTCATTCCCGGGAATTTCTGCACATTTCCGCATCCGGTTGAGGATATGTTGACGGAAGAGTCGATACCATGCATTGACCACGACCCCTTACGTGAGGGGCTAGATAACAAAATAATTGTAAAATGTCAGAAAACTCAGAGTTCAATGAGACTCAAATGAAAGTCCGGAGCTACCCTCACGCTATGTCCGAACCATTTTGGGACACCCTGCATCGGTTGAAATGCTGAGAGAAAAAAAATTCAGTCAATTCAATGACCCACAAGATAATTCGTAATAACTCAAGTTCCGATGACTTGAGTATATTCGCGCGCTACATCTCGAACCAACAGTCGATAAGTAAATTCATGCGCAGCGACGTGAGTTTCAAAACCAGCGGTCGTGCAATTCAACTTCTGTTATTCCCCGGTTTTACTGGAGCCTCGCGCCACCTGGCGAGATGCGCACGAGCACTTTCAAAAACAAATCCTGAGATATTATTTCACTGCGCTTCACCAGCTCCCTCGGAGATGATCAATTTTAATTCGCGAGTTAATAAAGAAGGATAATTGGATAATTTCCTACGCGGGAGGTTCTTTGAATCGACGTAAATTGCAAGTTATTGCAATAGAGTGCTCACCGAAACAGCCGAGTTCATCTTCACCGCGGGGGCAGTCAAAGTACCCATCGCAGAGTTTATCTTTATTGATCCTATCCTGACAGGAACATCTCATCTCGTCACTGGCATCCGGACAGTTGATACGCCCGTCGCACCACTCCAGCTTTGAGATGCATATGCTACCGTCCATGCACAAATGCTGATCTTGTCTACATTGTTTAGGGTATCCTGGAATATGATAAATCTTTATGATTGCGGTTGAAATACATCTACGAAAAAATGAAGTTGAAGAACTCAACGCATTCTCTGCAAAATTCCATTGAATTTCTACTGAAAATTGTTCAGCATCAGCTTCGCCACGAGTTTTTTCCTCTCTAAAAAAATTGATGTCATCTTTTTTGTCAGCAATCTATTGCGCCAGGGATATCCTTAAGCTTAGGAACAAGGATAATCTTTGCAGAGGATCCTAGATTTTACACATCATTTCTTATTTCCTTTGGAGATGAATATTTAAAATCGTAGCGAAGTGGTAAAGCAGTTTAAGTCGACCTATCTCCCCGTTGAGATTTTGAAGAATATTTTGGAATCTAAGGGAGATTGCGAAATTTTCGTAATTACATTTATTGTAGCTCTCAGTCGGCTCTACAAAAAAGGTTCTAACAAAATTTTGCTACCTCCCTTAGATTCCGAGATATTCATTGAAAACTGGTCAATAGTCAAAATTGACTTATACCATTTTACAACTTCGCTACTGAAAAAAAATATTCAAAACCTGCTAACCAACAATCACCAACAGTTATTAATGAATGGATTTTGTTCTAGATACCTTATGGCAATTTGAATATCTCATGAGATGAAGCAATTATTTATTGTCCGAAATAATATGATTCTAGCTGCGATAGATCGTGATTAAAACTTTACCTTAATTTCCTTATTTAGTATTCATTTTATTATTATTCATTTATGAATTCAATGAAACACTAACTTGAGCATGCGCGCGCGATCCTTTTCTAGTTTATAGAAATGTTCAATGGAAAATATTGTTAAACAAATCAATTCCATTTGATTGTTTATTGATTAGATTCCTAATTTTTTTTTCTGTAAAATATTTACAATTCAAATGAATGGAATTGGCGAAAAACGAAAAGAAGTTGTAATTTAGAAGTCTGAGAGAATTTTCCAACGACTGCACTAGTTTTTTCTGTTGAATGATTCAGCAAGTATATCATTCGTAATTATCTGATAATGCAATGGGAGGAGAATCTCCACTTTTCTCTAATGTGATAACTTTTCTTTCATCAAACGTGATAAATTGATGCTGTTTTTATGGGCAGAAATTATACGTTTGCACTTTAGAAATCTCCATAATTCTCTCGAGGACTCTCAATACAGAAGTTTCTTCTCAGCAGTTTTCCGTTGTAAAAACATCTGAGACTGGAAAAGATTTGAAAACAACTTGAACTTTCGGGAAAGAAATACGTCGATAAATTATCTGGTAATTCCAAGATGCCCGTGTTCTTTTGCCTCCAAAGATTTTATGGAGTTTGAAGGAATTGTCAACTTCTAAAATAGTTATTTGATATGCAGATTCCTCAAGACGGTGCAATTTATCGACTTTCCAATGCTCTTAATTTCCTCAGAGGTGTGAAGTCATTCTTGGAATAGTTGAGTATTCCTTCTTCCGATTCCTCATTTACGAGAGATTTTGGAAGATCAATTTGATGGATAGTTTCTCATCGGAGGAAGGCATTTTCAATTTTTGATATCAATGTTTCATTTCTATTTGTAAATTGAGCTGACCATTTTTTATTTCCAAAAAAAATTATTCACCCATTTTTTTAAATTTCTATTTTCATTATTGATAGATAACGTGATGTTTAAAGATATAGTAAATAAGAAACAACTATGGAAAGCTGTCATTCAAAGCTGCCAATCAAAAGAGCCTCGCAAAAGGTATCGGGTCAAAACTTGAAGTTTCATTCAAAATTTTAAAAGTAATTTTCTAACAGTCTACGCACACTAAATCCTTTCGAAAAGTGCACTTATCAGGAAGCTATCACAAAAAAGTATTTTTCATTGAATTGACGTTTTGTCGTACCATTACCTGTCCGCACACTAAACTTGCGCGATTTTACAGATAATTTTCATCCAACTTATCCCTCCGTGCACTCTCGATATTCTAATGAATTTGTAACAGTTCCGAGAGCCGACTTCGAATTACCATCTGAATGTCATGAATATATTTCAGCAGTCTTGAGAAATTAACAAAGTTATGCATTCTATTACGGCATTCAATAATCTCACCTGAGTATACACTATTATCATACCACTCCTTCCCACCACGTCCCGCGTCGCCCACCAGATTCTCAGAATTGGCTCTACCAGCATCTGAATTTCTCTGAATGTTGGGGGCTCCAGGGAATTGAGCACCGGTTGGTGGCGTAAAGATGCAGTAATATGACTGCGCTTGGGGACCAGCCCGCGGAAACCCCTGCCCAGGGCCCGTGGGTGGCATCCAGATGCCGGGATGCCCTCCAGGATTAATTTGGGCGGCACCATACGGTCCATTTTGTACGGCTGCTGATTGAAAACTGGGGAATCCTTGTCCCGGTGAGGTGAAACCCCTCGGGGGATACTGAACAGGCCCTTGGTATTGACCGGCGCCAGACGGATATGGAACGGCTGAGGGCTGGAGAAAACCCAGGGGAACCTGCACTCCCGTAGGTACTTGGACCGGGGGATAACCGTAATAGCAGACGGTACCTTTGGTGAAGGGCATCTGAGGATTTATCTGAACTTGCTGACCCGTTTTGACAGTTTCCGCTGTTGGAATTACCGGGGGATTGGTCTCGTAATGTTCATTTGGCCGGAACTGTACCTGCATCGTCTTGGGAAAATTACCCATCAGTGCGGGTCCCTGGACTGACAGCACTTCGGGACGCTCTGCGGTGCGAACTTCGCTCGGGAAAGCGGACGGATAATCGCGGGATCTAGCGGTCGGCAGCAGCGGAAAATGGTACTTCACTGGGCCATCTGATTTCGCTGTTGGAGAGGAGAAAAGTAGTGGTGAATGCAGAGAACTGTTGGACATTTTTGGATGGATTTTCCGTGGCAAGTGCCGGGTATTTTCATCATGTTTAACCCCTCACGTACGGCGGCGATACCATCCATTGACCCTGGCCGATAGGACAATAAGTTTATGGGTCGATGCATGGTATCGACCCGTTTCGTCTGCAGTAAAAAATCATTTTCTCGAACTCTAAGAGACATATTGACAGTTGGAAAAGATATTTGGAAAGTCAATAGAATTCTCTCTACAGTGAACTATTTTATTTTATTTTTTTTTAATGCATTTATAATATTTTTTTCTATGAACAAAAGTTGTAGATGGAAATTTTACATCCAACCGATTCAATCATATTAAATCATCTCGTTTATCGACAAAATTTCCCCCAAAAATCTTGAAATTTTTACTGAAAATACTTCAATGATCCTTCTATCGAATGGCAGAAGTTAAATTTCGATTTGTTGAATAATTTGTTTGTTATAAATAAATTTAGCATGTTCGAAGATCTCGGCAACCAATTGTCGGCAAACGAAATTGGTGTCAAAAATTAGGAAATTCTCTAGGAGTCGAACAAAATTCGACTTTTCTATATAATTATTCTTCTTATATATTTTCTATAGAATTTGCTCGACTCAAATTTTCCAAGTTTTTTTCATTCTATTTTTCTTTTCTTCTCATCAAGAACAAATCAAACGAAAAAACTTGACAAATTTGAGCCGAGGAAATTCTATAGAAAATATCTCAATAGAATAAGTTATACAGAAAAATTGAATTCTATTGACTTTTTCTACTGAATATTTTCTATTGAACATTTCAATGGAATCGGCCGAAGACTAATAGAACAGTTCAATAGAAATTCAATAGAATTTTCTAACGAATTCGACAGATTTACATTTTTTCGTCCGTGCCCTCAGTGTATTTCATAAAAAAAATTCACCAATCATTTGAGATCGAACGCGAAATATTCCATCACCGCATTACCTTCTCGAACCACTTCCTCCGACGATTCCTGAACGATCGGTACCCCGTGAATTGTCGTGTCCTTCGCAGTCCCGGGGACCTCATCCGGGAGTTCCGTTAAATTAGTGGCGATCGTTCTGTTGACTCCCCCACTGAGATTCCCTCCAGCAGAATTTTGAACGATTTTAATATCGAGAGGTGGCTGGAACGGCCGACCGTCCGCCCTCTGGATCACCGAGCTCGAAGAATTCTGGGACGTCTCCAGCAAAGCAAGTGAATTATTATTAGAGACTCTCGATTTCTTCAGATTTTGGCACTCGATACATTGAAGAAACTCGGAGAGGGCACCGTTGGGCTTATTTATAGAGGACAAAAGACCCTTCAAGGTATCTATACTCTCACTTGCGGTCGATGTCAATGCCTGCATGTTATTGAGGATGGATTGACAGGCGTCGAAGCGTGCTTTACAGGTTGACTTCTGAGTGATGTATTCTGTCGGGCGATTCTCCGTGTCCCGCTCCCCGGATTCAATTTCATTCTCTTTTGCGTCCTCGGCGGATCGGCGACGCCGATTTTTTGGGTCATTTACGATCATGTTGTAGATGAGGTTCGGGTCGATTTTTCGGTAGACGACGCTGGTGAACACCTCGGGCAACTCAGAGAGGTCGTAATCGGAGTCGATGGTCGGCGGCGGGGGGTCTGGTGACGTGGGAATCACTTCTGGAAATTATTTTATATTTTTTCAATTATTGGGCTTTTATATTGGAATTTAATCATTTTGATATTGCAACAAATCGATTGAAAGTTAATTTAATTTATTATTGAGAATTATTAGTTGAGTTCAAGTTAATTATTAGTGAAATGATTATTGCGAATTATTAATATAATCAATAGAATTCGTGTTGTCATTCGCGAAATACAACATGAATGTTGGTATTCGATTTCGATTTTTATATTTTGGATTCAAATGAAAATTAAAAATTAATTTTTTTCATTTGATGAAAAAAATCGACGGTTTTTTGAGGAAATTCAATTATTCATCTCTGAAAAAAAAAAATTTTTAATGCTGTATTGTTTCTAAATCTGGATTTACTGATTGGTTATCAATTTTTGATGTTTCATCACATAATTTAGTTGGGGAAGTCGTAAACTGAGATGTTCAAATACATAGTCGTCTGGACGAAGGTGTTCTCGTACGAACAAAATTCCTAAGAAAACTCGCACAATCGCCAGCGAATTCTATAGAATTCCTACCAAACTTCTACGGAAAATTTGATTATTTTTTCGCCAATTCTATTAAAAAAATTTCCAGCTTTTCAATTCGCTTTTTTCTAACTGAAATATTTAATAAAAAAATTGTATTCGAGAAAATAAATTAAATTAGATCTTTCAATCCAATTCATTCCGTTAAATTTATTTCTGTAGTGATTCGCGAGTTCAAATTTCGCAAGTTTTTTTGCTTGCGTTTTTTAAATAGAAAATAAAAAATGCAGTGGAACAAACTTGGACAATTCATGTCGAGGAGTTTTTATGGAAAATTATTTTTTTTCCGTAAAATAAATTCTCTTTAGCATTTTCTATTCCAAAAATTTGTAAAAAAATAACAGAATTTTCAGAAGAAATCCGATAGAATTTCCTGCCGAATGCAAAACCGATTTCTATCAATTTCTTTCAACCGTTTTGACAGGAATTTTTATAGAATTCAGCAGCGAAGTGATAAAACGGTTTAAGTCTTGACTTTTTGTGGAATATTTCCGAATCTAAGAGAGATAGCGAAATTTTCCTACTTACATTTGTTGTAGCCCTCAATCAGCCCTCCAAAAAAGGTTACAACAAAAATTTTGCCATTGCCTTTAGATTCCGAGACATTCATTGAAAACTGGTCAATAGTCAAAATTGACTTGTACCTTTCACCATTTCGCTACTGAATTATATAAATACCCTGATTGAATCCAACGATGAAATTACCTGTTTGAAATGACGTGTAGATGACTGAGCCGACGAAAATCGAAGCCAGAATTACCGCAGTGAATCCGATTATTAACATGAATCTGTATCTCGCTACGGCCTGAGGATGTCCACTCATCATCTCGTATTTGATCTCCTGCAATTTCCGCCTGGTGCGACTATTCAAATGTCCCACATCATTGGCTTTGCCGGTTACTCCACAATTTTGCACAGCAGTATCCCCTGGCCCCGGTAAATTCGATTTCTCGGGATCCCCCATTTGAACCAACGAGATACTCAATATTCCGAAAAAGAATTTGGGGAACGACAAGAATCCTCTTCCTCTGGCCAACGCGAAAATCGAGAAATAAATATCACTGTCAACAAGGCACTACGCAGAATGCCGTTTCACAGAGGAATGAAACAATTTTTTCGAGGCAGGAGGGAATACGAGCGCTATCGTGGTATTATTTTTCATCGTCAGCTTTTTTGAAACGAATGAAGTAGCCCGTCCTCTTTACCATGCGGTATGTCGAAATTTTGTGGCCGTCGGTTGAATGACTTCTGCATACGCACAATTCAACTATTCTTTTTTACCTGCGAAATTTTGATTTTGCGTTTCAATCAAATTCCGGGGGTTTGTTCGCATTGCAATATCTCACATTTCTCCGAATGAGAATACTTCCTGAATGAACTGAGGAATTCCTTTGAAAATGGGATTCCAGTTGTGTGACGGAAAGAAAATGAAATCAATGTTATGATAAAATCATACATTTTATTATCAGAATGATTTTATTATTAATTTTTTTTTCATATGTTGTTCTTCAGATCTTGAATTTTCTTGGAAAGAAAGTCGACTTTCGGCAGAATCGAATTTTTTCATCAACTGAATGTTGATTCTGTATTTATTGGCCCCTCTGATACCAATGAAACCTCCAGAGGCGCGAGAAATGTCGAAATGAAATTTTTTTTTTCACCCGAGGTCAAAGTGTCAAATCTTTGATTTTTCCCCGGGGAAAGTCGACTTTCGGCAAAATCGAGTTTTTTCGTCAACTGAATGTTGATTCTGTATTTATTGGCCCCTCTGATACCAATGAAACCTCCGGAGGCGCGAGAAATGTCGAAATAAATTTTTTTTTTCTCACCCGAGGTCAAAGTGTCAAATCTTTGATTTTTCCCTGGGGAAAGTCGACTTTCGGCAAAATCGAATTTTTCCGTCAACTGAATGTTGATTCTATATTTATTGGCCCCTCTGATACCAATGAAACCTCCAGAGGCGCGAGAAATGTCGAAATGAATTTTTTTTTTTTCACCCGAGGCCAAAGTGTCAGAATCTTGGATTTTTCCCTGGGAAAAGTCGACTTTCGGCAAAATCGAATTTTTCCGTCAACTGCATGTTGATTCTGTATTTATTGGCCCCTCTGATACCAATGAAACCTCCAGAGGCGCGAGAAATGTCGAAATGAAAATTTTTTTTTTCACCCGAGGTCAAAGTGTCAAATCTTTGATTTTTCCCCGGGAAAAGTCGACTTTCGGCAAAATCGAATTTTTCCGTCAACTGCATGTTGATTCTGTATTTATTGGCCCCTCTGATACCAATGAAACCTCCAGAGACGCGAGAAATGTCGAAATAAATTTTTTTTTTCTCACCCGAGGCCAAAGTGTCAGAATCTTGGATTTTTCCCTGGGAAAAGTCGACTTTCGGCAAAATCGAATTTTTTCCAGCTGATTTTTCCCAGTCGGATTTCGACCAATCAGAGCGCAGTATTTGAGGCTACCCAACAGTTTTACTTCGGATATTTTCCCCTAGCTTTTGAATATTTCGCAGTAGTTCTTCATTTTTTTTACCTGAATATTTCGCAGTAACTCTTCATTTTTTCGGCTCATTCCAGATAGAATCTTATATTTGACAGCCTATGGAAATCGGGTTATTTTATTAACATAATTTGTTCAAATCTTTCCCAATTCACCTCCTGATGTTGTCCACTGCACTCTACTTGGTCAAAATCTGATTGGGAAAAATAATCCGACAAATCCCCCTCGAGATTCAAAATTAATCGAGTATTTCCCTCAAGCCCCCCTGCAAACAAACCATCGTGCCAAGTTTTGCAGAAAAATCCCTCACGCAAGCGCTCGGGATTTTTCAACCTGCAAAACTTGACACCCTCATTTGTTTGCAACGAAGCTATCGGGAAATGCCCAATAATTTTGAAGCTCTTGGGGTATCACTACTGAATATTCAAGTGGAAACGAATATTCAGTGCGAAATGCTCTTGAATTGTCATGGAATTCCTCTAAAATTCTCGGAATTGCAGGAATGGAGTCTGGAATTCAAGTAAAGATTTCTGAGAATTTCCCTGATTTTTCCGGAATAATTGAACGGTAATTTACAGTTCCCCCCAATTTTTCCATGAAATTATGAATTTATAATGACAAAATTCCTTAAGATTTCTGTAAATATAAATATGAATGGTACTCGTTAGAAATTTCCAAGCCTCATACCGAACATTTCAGTAGAAATTTTCTATCAGTGTATCACCTAATCAGCAATTTTGATAGTGCAATCACGCTAATCAAGTTTCATTCAAAATTCAGGGTTACTCATTACCCAACAAAAAATAGCGCAAAAAAACACTTTCATCCATGTGTATGACGTATTCACGTGACTATACGATTCTATAATCAGTGGACTCCAAGCGACCTCGTCGAATCGATTGGGAGGCAATTGTGCAAGATATTTCTTCCTCTTACTTTCTCCAACTGGTGGCACACGGAGCCCACTGGGACGGGTTTGCCGGCTGATCGAAAGTGACAGTGGTCGCAGGTGTGTTCAGTAACGCCGTGTATTTTCTAGTCGAGCTAGAACCGCAGTTTACAATGAATATCTCCCGGACATTACGCACGGTGAAGACATCTAAATTAATATAAGTGAAGTAGACAGCCATCTGCAATGACGATTGATTCGGAGTTACGATGAATATCACCAGAAGTGAATCAATCAACTCTGAGGAAGAGGAAGAGGAAAATGAGGGGAAGAAATAGCACTGAGATTAGGAGTAAAAGTGTTGTTTCTTCCTCAAACAGTTGGGATCCTTTGAAATTTGGTAACGACACCACTGGAGTCAAGCCAACGGTATTCACTTTTAGTTTTCTACGTCAATGTTTTTGCTTCCGAACGGACGCTTTGTAATCGATCAAATTTAAGTTTACAATGTTTTTTGTTTGGATAATTAAATATGGTGAACGGAAAAAAATATACTCAATTGGGGGATGGGTATTTCAATTTGAAGATGATTGTTTTGCGTCAGGCCGGGTCGTAGCAAGCCCTCTTAAGTGTAACATAAGGGTCAGGCACTAAGTGTCAGAATATAAGGGTCAAAAAGTGGAGGTTAAAAAATGAGGGTCAGAATATTAGGGTCCAAACATTAGGGTCAGAATATAAAAGTAAAAATAGTGGGTGTCAGGCAATGAGGGTCTAAATATAAGTCATATATTATGCTTGATCACCGTTTTTAGCCCTTATATGACCCTCATTGCCTGACACCCACTATTTTTACTTTTATATTCTGACCCTAATGTTTGGACCCTAATATTCTGACCCTCTTTTTTTAACCCTAACATTCTGACCCTCATTCCTTCACCTTTACATTCAGGCCCTCAGTTTTTGACTCTAATATTCCGACCCTCATTTTTTAACCTCCACTTTTTGACCCTTAATTCTCACACTCAGTGTCTGACCCTTATATTACACTTGAGAGCCCTTGGTACAACCCGGGCTGATACGAAGTATTCATCCGAGAATTGAAACACCCACTCCCCATTCGAGTATAAAATATACTTGAATGAAGTATATTTTATGCTCAATTCGAGTGAAAAGTCCGAATATGCGATTTTTTGATGGTTTAGATGGTATTTTCTTCATTATTTTTTTGACTAGATAAATTGAATGGATAAATTGAATTTCTTCATTATTTTGATGAATATACACTTTAATAAGCTCTATCCATTGACACCAATTAAAATTCAATTTTTTATAGAGATTCGAAACAAATTATATTTTTCTAAAAATCGAGTTGTCAACGATCACTTAAAAAATTATCATTAAAATGGAATTTGTTATGACTCAAAAAATTGATAACAATTCCCTCTTGATTCGAGGAAACATTTGTTTATTTATTTTTTGTTTGGGAAATGGGAAATATTATCAATGACAAATATTTTTTTTACTTCTTGAATTTATTTCTCCTGGGTACACTCAACGACTCAACTGGAGTGTATTCATACTACTCTAACACTCTAAATCGGCCGACTTCATACTTTTTGCTTGTCAATCTCATACAACACATGAGAAATTGACATTCCGTGAGGAACGCCTTCGAGATTTTTTCACGTCAAACTCTCGGAAAATGAATTAACTCACAAATTGATAATGTCAGCTCCACAAAAGAACAGTTTGGCTAACTAAAATGCCTTTTCGATCATGTTTTTTCGCTCTGAGCGGGCGCTCTCTCAACCAGTGTAGAAGAAAATGGCACAACATGCACTGAGAAAAAAAATGGTTCTGCTGCAAAATTATATGTTCCCCTGAAGCGATCTTTTCTCGTGTTGAACTAATTTACTTAGGGACAAACATGAAAGTTTCCAGCAGAACATCATAATTTCCGCAGTAAAAATTGTGGTCGTGAGACATTTGTATATCTTTCGTAAATACATTCGTTTTACGGTGAATTATATGAGGCTGCGGTTTTACCCAGGGAACGTCGTTGAGTAGTGTATGTCTCTGTCCAAGAAACACTTATAATTTCCATGGAACAAATGATAATTATATGATGAAATTACAATTTTATCGTCGGAAATGTTATTGACTAAACTAAATAATTTCGAGGGAACAATTTTTCTTGGGAAAAAAATATCTCTTTCTCGACATTATATTCTTTTTATGTAGTGATGCCGCAAGAGTTGAAGAGATAAAACGAGATATGGAATGAGAGAAAAACAATTATTAAAGAAATTCGTAAACTCTCAAGTCATCAATAATATAAAACCATTTTGTTAAATAACCCTTTATCTACCAATGGATATTGTGAAGAATTATGTATTTCTCGATTATGGTAATCTTTCTTCTCGAATGGCGCATCTTCCATTATTGGAGCTATTTCCGTTCCGTAAAATTTCTCAATCATTGGGGAAAAATTACGGAACGAATTGTTGTTCCCACAGCGGTGAGTCATCAGACGGGTGGTTAATTTTTACGGAACAAATCGTAGAATTTACGTGGCGATTCGAACAATTTCAGTCCCGACTCACGCTTTTTATTGAATTTTACTTCGCTCGCTTACGTTTCGAAACGTAATTTTTACGTTTTTTTCTGGTAATTTTTATTGAATGTTTCTCTCCGTATAATATTGAGCAATCATTCACGTTCACTGGGCTAATTTTCGATGGAATGCAGGGTAAATTTTCCAATTTCGCCTCAGCTAAAACTTTTCTCCTGATTCTCACAGAAAATTGTCTTACAATAAGTGAAAATTTTGCTAAAATCCAGAACGTTTTGCTCTCTGGCTGTGACCACAGCTCACCGAAATCTAGAAATTGTTACTGAAGACCAGAAACATTTTTTCTCTGTAACTGCATTCTTCCATTGATTTTTTTCAAATTATTATGATAATACCATTCAATGCAACCATCACGCCTTGAATGCATAAATCAGTCTTCATCACGATCATTACCAAACAGCCGCACCATCTGCTCGACTCTCCAAAAACTCCAACGCATTCAACCCCGAGGTAAACTCAATTGCGAAATTAAGGCGTTTGTGCATTTGAGCTCAAGGAAAACTTGAATCTTTCACTTTTTATTATTCTCTGAAAGAATAACCGACTCCCCGAGATAAGAAGATTTTTCTTAAACAGATTTACCACGACCAGGTGATATTCGCAGGTCTATTGTCCATCGGAAGCAGACGGAAGAGCTATGGATATACTACTAATCAGACATTTGAAAACGATAATGACCCCGAGTGGCGATATCCAAGTAAAGCATAAACGTGAAAATTTGGCGGTCGTTGTGTGAAGGGCGTACGTGAGCACGAGACGCGAATGGTTCCGGGGCTTGTCGACTATTGTGTCCCGTAAGAAATACAACCTGCACTGACAAAAACAAAGGTTTTTGAGAAATACGTCTTTACTTATGTCAAGAAACTTCTGACTTGAAAATTTTCAAGAGTAAAATATCTTGTAATAAGAAAATAAAAAATTTCGTCAAGTAATTTTGTACTTGTCCTGTAGACGAGGACAATTTCTTGATGACAAGAAAGCGATTTCTCAAACCAAGTAAAATTGAATGAATTCATTTTATAGTTTTTTAGCCTCAATTCTAAAATATTTTAATGCAAAAACCACTTTAATCGATTTGAGCACTCGTTTTCTTGATATGAAAAAATTGTCCTTATCATTCGGAGAAATACGTCTTTACTTATGTCAAGAAACTTCTGACTTGAAAATTTTCAAGAGTAAAATATCTTGTAATAAGAAAATAAAAAATTTCGTCAAGTAATTTTGTACTTGTCCTGTAGACGAGGACAATTTCTTGATGACAAGAAAGCGATTTCTCAAACCAAGTAAAATTGAATGAATTCATTTTATAGTTTTTTAGCCTCAATTCTAAAATATTTTAATGCAAAAACCACTTTAATCGATTTGAGCACTCGTTTTCTTGATATGAAAAAATTGTCCTTATCATTCGGACTAGTATAAAATTTCTTGGCATAAGAAAAATTGAATTCTATTGACATTTTCTACTGAATATTCTCTATTGAACATTTTAATAGAATCGACCAAAAACTAACAGAACAGTTCAATAGAAATTCAACAGAATTTTCTAACGAATTCGATAGGTTTTTCTATTAAATTTATCGTCCGTATTCACTGATAGAAAGGATTAGTTATTGTTAACAAGTGAGAAATACGTCTTTACTTATGTCAAGAAACTTCTGACTTGAAAATTTTCAAGAGTAAAATATCTTGTAATAAGAAAATAAAAAATTTCGTCAAGTAATTTTGTACTTGTCCTGTCGACGAGGACAATTTTTTGATGACAAGAAAGCGATTTCTCAAATCAAGTAAAATTGAATGAATTCATTTTATAGTTTTTTAGCCTCAATTCTAAAATATTTTAATGCAAAAACCACTTTAATCGATTTGAGCACTCGTTTTCTTGATATGAAAAAATTGTCCTTATCATTCGGACTAGTATAAAATTTCTTGGCATAAGAAAAATTGAATTCTATTGACATTTTCTACTGAATATTCTCTATTGAGCATTTTAATAGAATCGACCAAAAACTAACAGAACAGTTCAATAGAAATTCAACAGAATTTTCTAACGAATTCGATAGGTTTTTCTATTAAATTTATCGTCCGTATTCACTGATAGAAAGGATTAGTTATTGTTAACAAGTGAGAAATACGTCTTTACTTATGTCAAGAAACTTCTGACTTGAAAATTTTCAAGAGTAAAATATCTTGTAATAAGAAAATAAAAAATTTCGTCAAGTAATTTTGTACTTGTCCTGTAGACGAGGACAATTTCTTGATGACAAGAAAGCGATTTCTCAAACCAATTAAAATTGAATGAATTCATTTTATAGTTCTTTAGTCTCGATTCTAAAATATTTTAATTCAAAAACCACTTTAATTGATTTGAGCAATCGTTTTCTTGATATGAAAAAATTGTCCTTATCATTCGGACTAGTATAAAATTTCTTGGCATAAGAAAAATTGAATTCTATTGACATTTTCTACTGAATATTCTCTATTGAACATTTTAATAGAATCGGCCAAAAACTAACAGAACAGTTTAATAGAAATTCAATAGAATTTTCCAACGAATTCGATAGGTTTTTCTATTAAATTTATCGTCCATATTCACTGATAGAAAGGATTAGTTATTGTTAACAAGTGAGAAATACGTCTTTACTTATGTCAAGAAACTTCTGACTTGAAAATTTTCAAGAGTAAAATATCTTGTAATAAGAAAATAAAAACTTTCGTCAAGTAATTTTGTACTTGTCCTGTAGACGAGGACAATTTCTTGATGACAAGAAAGCGATTTCTCAAACCAAGTAAAATTGAATGAATTCATTTTATAGTTTTTTAGCCTCAATTCTAAAATATTTTAATGCAAAAACCACTTTAATCGATTTGAGCACTCGTTTTCTTGATATGAAAAAATTGTCCTTATCATTCGGACTAGTATAAAATTTCTTGGCATAAGAAAAATTGAATTCTATTGACATTTTCTACTGAATATTCTCTATTGAGCATTTTAATAGAATCGACCAAAAACTAACAGAACAGTTCAATAGAAATTCAACAGAATTTTCTAACGAATTCGATAGGTTTTTCTATTAAATTTATCGTCCGTATTCACTGATAGAAAGGATTAGTTATTGTTAACAAATGGATTTGGTTGGAGTCTAGGGTCCCTTCGGTTTCATCAAATGTTCACTCGTTAACAGTTAACAAATGCATATTTCAGGAGCTTTGTTTGACTCAACTTTCACCTTTCAAGTGAACCATTCGTTAACTATTATTTTATCGTTAACTATCGTCTGGAATAAATGAGTCATTCTATCAGTGTTGAAGAAGAAGGAACTGACTCGTAACGCAAATGCAAGCGAGTGAGGACGAGGAACAAACGAGACGAGAGGAGTCGCTTGGAAAAAAATCCAGAGGTGGGGGAGAACGAAAAAAGGAATTGAGATACGTCGATGAGACGGATCATCCAGTTCCCCCATTAGTCTCACGTCTCGCATCACCCATTCCCCATTTTCTGAGCGGCATCAAGTCATTTCTTTGGGACCAAAGAAACTGGAAGAAGAAAAGCGCGAGTGACTGAGGCGACTAAATGAGAGACGAGCTTCAGTGCTTTCGCGTTATATTTTTCTTCCATCCGCGGAAATCGCGCTGTCCTTTGTGTCGCCAAGTGATTTCATCAGTCACACACAATGGACTAGCGGATATGCTCTATTTTAGTTCCGTTTGTGGTTGTTGCTGTTGTTGTTGCGGTTGACTGGAGTGAGGAGGGAAATAGGTGAAATTATTCCGGTTGGTTATGAGAAACTCATGTCCGGCGGAGTGAGATCAAGGAATTGGGTAATATTATTATCGTCTCGGTGACTAATCGACGGCTCAAGTGGCCACGATGCTGCGATAAGCCGGACACTGTCGTTAGCTGACGGGTTGAGTGAAAAGCCGGGATATGGTGAGACTCGAGCCAGTGTGGTGAGGTAGCCGCTAAGAAGAACGCTTCATTGTGCAGTTGAGATACCATTTGTGGGAGTGGGATTTAGGATTTTCAAAAGCCGGTGAGTTTTTGGGTTTCGCGGAGAAACAAAATTAATGCATAATAAAAAATGAATGAGTTCTCGAAGAAGTCTTGTTCGGGACAGCAAAATTGTTTGTGGAAAATTACCGAAAAATTATTGTTTTGTTCGAATTTCAAAGTCTCAAATATGAATAATTATTCTGCTTTCAACAACAATGAAATTTTTGACTCAAGAGGCGAATCATTCATACAAGACCATTTCTTTATCAAGGAATATTTTGCCCGAGTTATGAAATTGCTGTCATATCGGTATTATTATTTCATTTAAGAATTCATTTTTTGTCTCGGATTATTGCATATAAAACGAGCATTTGCCGGGAGCAAAATACGTATGAGAGCATTGAATAATGGAGAAGTAGTGAGAATTAATTGTTTTTTGAAAAAACTAAATCTATTTTTGTAATAAAAATTTTCTATCTCGGCGCACAACAAACGATTTTTTTTGCACAAGCAACTTGTTTGAAATCAGTGCTGTTTTTCTCTGAGTGTAGCACATTCGCTGGAAAATTTTGCGCGTTTTTAAAAGAAAATATTTTATTTTTGTTTTGCTTGGTTTTTTTAATGAGAGGAGAAAGAAGTGGAGTGAAAAAACTTGAAAATCCATGTCAAGGAATTCCTACAGAAAATGTTTCGAGAGAGAAAGTTGTATAGAAAGACCAAATTCCACTTTTTTTTTCAACGAAACAGTTTCTACTGCACATTGTCTATCAAAAACGCTGAGAAAAGTTGCGGGATTTTTAAATAGAATCGCCGAATGACTAATGGAATTTTTAGGGGCCTTGAGACTCACTAAACAATTTGGGATATATTACGGAATACAGGAACAACTCGAGAAATCGCAGACCCGATCGATTTTGCCCCGTATAATCACGAAAAACTTCATTTTTTCCTGTTTTTCCCTTCAAAATGGTTTCAACTTTTTTTTTTAATATTCGCTACACTCTAAAAAATAAAGTTAAGCATCAGTTCTACTTCATTCGCAAAAGATCATGAATAAACGAATTTTGAATTTCATAAATATTCATTTACGTCATAAAATTTATTTTCATCATAAAATTCATTTTTCGGCAAAACCAATTTTTTTCTCTCAGTGTAGGCTCAAAACTTCTGACTTGACCTTCCACAACTTCAAGGCTAGACGGCCATTGATTTAATCAACTATCGGGTTAGTCGCATTCTGGGCTGTTCTCTGGGGATATTTGTTTGAGGATTAACTCTCGATTCGTAATTGCATTACGATGGAGTTCATCAGGAGATCGGAAAGTGAGAGGATTGCAGAATCTCGTTAGATTTGTGCCAAAGTCCAGGTTTAAGTTATCGCTATTTCATAGGACTTTCGAAATTGGTCGTGACCTTTGCTAACTTGACAGGTTTTTGCAAGGATTCGAGAGGTAGCGGGAGATTGTCAAGGTCGTGGTGTAGTTCTTGGGTGCTTATGGAGAATAAGTAGGTTGAATAAAATCCATGATTTATTTTTTTATTATTATCATTTTGTTATTATCAGTAATGGTCATGAAAAAAAATTGAATTGTGATTAATTTTATTGCATTCTGATGGAATTTATTTTTCATTATCATCGTAATAGTTGATGAAAACAATAATGAATTCATTCAGCTTATGTGAACAAATTATTCATTTGGATATTGTTAAATATTAACATCATTAATATTGTTAATCATATTAAATGATTTCATTCAAATTCTTGCATCTTCTGTAATTAGCAACAATTGTAAAAAATAAATAATTCAATAACAATTTTATGCCATCTAAAAAAAATAATTTCGTGTTAATAATTTAATTTGAATTTTGTAGTTTAACTTTCAATTAATTCATTTTTTTAAATAATATTTCAATCATTTTTTTAAAGCACAATTCAATAAATAAGTCAGAACAACAAAAATAGTTATTGCTCCAATTAAAAATTTAATACACAGATAAATGAAAATCACTTAATAGTTGATGAAATGTTGTAGAATTATGAGATTATCTCACATTTTTTACGTTAAGAATAGGAGAATCTGAAGGCAAGAGAGTGAAAATGATGATCGATTTTTTCTATTGAACAAATACTATTAATATCCAAATACAAAATTTCTGAAATGAATAAAAAAAGCTGTGACTCAATATTCCAAATGAAGTTTTAATGAAATCTTTGGCTTCCGGATGGAAGTCACCAATAATAAATAAATAAATAAATAAATAAACAAACAAACAAATAAATAAATAAATAAATAAACAAATAAACAAATAAATTAATAAATCAATCAATTAATAGATCTCAATAGCTTATACCCGATAAGAACCAGAAGCACTTGGGTAAATACAAGAGTTTCATAAACATTACACAACTTCCATCAACAACACCTGTCTCCCATAATTGCTTCTCGGTTATCACCGATAACGCATCATTAAATTTAATCAATGAATAACTGTAACGTGAATGCAATTAATGCAATGCAATGAACAGAGATTCAATTCGCCATTAAAAATCAAGCTTCTTATTTCAAAGAAATAAAACCAGCAAGATGTATCTCTAGAGTGCAAGGAAAACTCGAAGTAATTGGTTGAGTCGCATTAAATTGCCTTGGTCTATTGATCAAGCACAGGACTGATGACCTTGCCCAACAGTTAAGACTGTTGACGAGCCCCAGACCCAGTGGCGATGTATGTTATTATAACGTCATTCCTCTAATGATGTAATAGAAAAGGATTTTGTGCTTGCAGTTGCATTGCGACATCGAAGGTCAGACGATAACGAATGGATTCCGGATGGATCGCTAGGCCCCTGGGCCTTCTACTTTTCCTCACAATGGCATTTCCCGGGGTCACTGCCTCCTACAGCATTGGTATAGGCACTGCTGATTCAACGGGACCTGTTGCTGAAATTGTTTTTGTGAGCATTTTTTTTTTCATTCGTTGGATTAAAGTAGTATAAATATAACTTAAATTTTGAAGACTAGTGCCCCTTGAGGCCGGGGTGTTGGTACCCTTTTTCCTATCACATTCAATTTTTGTTTCAATTAACTATAACAGGGGACGTATTGTTTTCTTACCGGTTCATTAATTTTTATCTCCATAATTAGGGGGCTACGCCCCCTGCTCGCTCCGCTCGCCAACCCCCATATTAAAAATTACTGTAAACAAAAAATTACAGTACATAAAAAAAATATACATAGACATCATATTACATTAATCGATAGGTGGAATATAGACCTTAAAAATCGTTACACTGGATTTTTTTTAAGTGGATTTTTTATAATCATCCTCATTGCAAAAAGCAATGTAACCGATGAGAGTCAATCAATCAATAATTTTGATTGATTCAAAGTCAAAAATAAAATAAATAATTTATTGTATTTTCCGAATGCAATTATTCATAATAAAACGGGGTTTTTGTCTTACATAATGAAATGCTTAGTTATAGATATCAAATGAAAATTCTGAACACCAGTTAATATGAAGAGAAACATTCCGGTCAAGTTTGTGCTCAATCGTCCATTTACCTCGCTGTCCTCTAGAAAAAAATTCAAAATCAACTCCACTGAAATCCTTTTAATTAGTGTCTTGATTTCTCCAATTTTCCAGATGGGATACGCGAAAATGGATCAAAAGGGTACAGGTCTACACCTCCGCACCTTCGCCCGTAGTTTCATAATCGACGATGGAAACCAGAGATTCGTATTCGTCAGTGTCGAAAGTGCGATGATTGGTCATGACGTGCGCTCTGCTGTAAGAATTCAATGTTTTCCATAGATTTTAATTCAATGAAACCACAATTTTCATTGCGTTGGTTATTTTGAAGCTTCCTTGTTGCTATTAATTCCAATTCAATCATGTACGGATCTCTATTCATTTTTATTTCATTCAATAAATGTAGAAAATCATACAGAATATTGAATATCAAGCAATAGTCGAACTAAAAAAGAAATATGCGGGTATGCTGTGCCGTTCAATTTTCCTCGGCTGTGGGATTTCAAAAATGACATCAAACGGTTCAATTTCAATGTACCCGTGAACTTTTTGACATTTCATTATTTTTTTTTTTCAAAGAATGCAGCGGAGTGTCGGATTTAATTTACTACGGTAGATCCTTAAGATAAAATAGACTCTGTTGGATGGCTTTTACTGATTGTGAGGCCTTAATGTTTTCATTTATTCCAATGCAGTCATATTTGTATTCATTTTCATTTCATTCAATAAATGCAGCCAATCATGCAGAATATTGAATATCTTGAAGTAACAAATTTCCCGTTGGATTGCTTTGTCTTCAGGTGATAGCTAAACTAAAGAAAAAATATGGAGATCTGTATACAGATGAAAATGTTATGATAAGTGCAACACACACACACTCGAGTCCAGGAGGGTCCAATTTGTACACGCTGTTCGATCTCACGACATTTGGATTCATAAAACAAAGCTTTTCGGCGATAGTCAACGGAATTACGAAGGTAAGGGGATGAAAGAATCATTTTTACGTTTCCTGGAGCTCAGGTTGATCCGAAAAAAAACGACCTCGCTATATATTTCTCTTTATGCCGCTGGTTTCTCTTTGCTGGGAACATCCTCTGCCTGACCCGTTTCATTTATTCATGTTGATATCCGAAATTGCAGAGTATTGAGCGGGCGCATGACGCCGTTCTCCCTGGAAGGATCTTTGTGGACCGGGGAGAGGTTCTCGATGCAAACATCAACAGAAGCCCTCAGGCGTATTTGAATAATCCCAAGACTGAGAGAGACAAGTGAGTGAAATACCTCTGTTTGAACAGCTTCGAGGCGAAACGCAGAACTTTTTTTTTCCGTTTTAATGTTTAGGGTGCGCAAATCTACAAGATTTATCTATTCTACACTGAGATAAATGTTGACATAATGTAACAAAACTCAGTCCCATCAAAAAATATATTTAAAAAATATATAATATGGGCCAATTCTACATATTTGTTAAATTTATAAAGATTATACAAAAAAAAATATATAAAATATATGTCCCATATATTTTTTTATATATTCTAATAATTAAATAGAATTTTATTTTTAAATATATGAATCATATATTTTATCTATTTTTTTTTGTATAGATTGGGCCAATTTAAAATATTTTGTTACATATTTTTCAAAATATAAATTTTTCCCCGTGGGCATTTGCCCCAGTGAACCTCGTAAATTCGATCCGAGTAGTTACAGTCCGACTCGCACGGACGAACCATTACCATTATTCGGATATTTATTCTACTATCGACGAAGCATTTGTACAGTATTTCGGTCAAGGGTTCCCCTTCAGCAATGTTTAAATCACACCGTGGAATGCTTTTTTCGGGGCAGTATGCGCTTTATTTTGCCCTCATTGTTCAGATTCCACTCTGGATTCAATCGCTCTTTCACTGAATTTTGCGAAGCATTTTGTAATCAGTTATTCAACCGAAATTCTTTTACCAACAAGCAAAAATGCCGTTTTGCGGAGAAATTTTTAGTGAAATGAAATTCGCGTGTCTGATTACAATGCTGTTATTTTGCTAATTCCATCACATTTGGTGTTTACGGAGTTCACAGAAAATTTTATTAAACAAGAATTAACATTAAAAAAAAAGATAAGAAGATAAAAATATTCAGACATTTTTGATTTTCAAAAATTACTGAAAATCATGAAAATTCAGGCAACTTTTCTTCTGAATTTTTAATCTGTTCCTTAATTTTCGCGATAGGTGTGAAAATCCAAATTCTTATTGAAAATTCAATGATCATTCATAATAAAAAACTCAATTTTATTGAATTTCGAAGTTGAAAATTCAAATGCATCTGTTACTTAAATTTCAAAAAATTTCTGACAGTGTGGGTTGATTAAAAATTTTTCTCAGTGTTTCCGATTTTCGATGAATTCCGCCAATAGTCAACAGAATGCTCATTCACATCATTTCAAAATTCGGATGGAATCGAAGCCAGATTGAGCGACAAATTTCGACTAGCATTGCACAGAAAAAAGTGAAACGTCCTTGAACGTCCTTGAATATCCTTGACGCTTCGTAAACCCCATATGAATGAAACAGTACAACTATTTGCTTCCTTCAGGTACAACCACAACGTAGATAAGACGATGACTCAGCTGCAATTTGTAGCAGCAGACGGCAGTCCTCTGGGGGTCATTAACTGGTTCGCGGTGCATCCAACCAGCATGAACAACACTAATCGCCTCGTCTCCAGTGACAACGTTGGCTACGCAGCTCTTTTATTCGAAGAGAAAATGAATAAAAATTCCATGCCTGGGAAGGTAAACACCAGAACTGTCGTATTCCCCCCAAAAACTCCGACATTACTGATCTGGTTACAGTAGCTCTACCCTTCGGCCGGGCTACGCTGTACTTTTGGATATTTTCAGTTTTTAAATTTTTCAACTAAATTGCATGGAAAAAATTTGAAAAAATTCATATCCAGTCAGTACTATCTGAATTAAATTTCGCAAAACATTGATATTTTTTCAAATATTCCCCTCTTATGAATAAATAATAAAACTTGTTTGCAAAACGGTGGATTATTTTTTATGCGGTGTCAAAAAATTCAGATTTTAATCTTTGATTACAATGGAAATGTTGATTTTCACATAAGACACTGGGTTCAATTTCTCATAACCTTTTTAGTAGCACTCAATTCGCTCTACAAAAAAGGTTATTATGAAAATTTGCTATCTCCCTTCAATTCGGAAATATTTTTGGAAAACTCACCTAAAGGCTAAATTGACTTAAACCGTTTGACCACTTCGCTACTGAATTATTTTAAAGTTTTTGGACACTACCCTACTGTGCCCCAACTGTAATACGTGTAATACATTGGAGACACGAGTTGATAATTTTAGAATGTGAATAGTGCTTGCTAAAAAGCAATATAAGCATGATTGAAGCTCTGACACCCGCCTCTTTGTCTTAGCTACACCGAACTCAACCTAGTTCGGACTTGGTTTCGCATTACCCCACGTAGGTTCTGGCATTTTCCCAAATCCAATGTATAAAAAATGTCCACATAGGGCAGTTTCATCCCCCACGTTTATTGAGTTCAGCCTCATCGAGTGCCGTTAAGTGTCGTCTATCATGACAAAATACTTCAGAACTAATGAAAGTAGTGATGGAGTATCCAATACGTCTTTAAGGGGAGACTACTATGATAAGATCGATTATATAGATCTGAAAACGAATAATTAGTGCCAACAAATTTTTTTTTATTGTTCGTTTGCCTAAAAACAGTCCAGGGCCTCCAATTTTTGAGCTACAAAAGATTTTTTTCTTTCAAAATTTTTAGAAAAATGTGTGGAACAACAATTACGTTCCAGTTTTTTGGAATTCGACTCTTACACAGCAGACTTCGGTATTTTTCATTTAAAAAAAATTCACCATTTGTGTAAAGAAATACAAGAAAAGCAAATTTAGCCATATAAAAGGCGAATTAAAAAAAAATAGCTCGTAATTGTTATTCCACATATTTTTCTGAAAATTTTGAAAAAAAAATCCTTCGTAGCTCAAAAATTGGAGACTGTGTTTGGCATTTTAAGCGTTTTCGGATTTGAAACGAACAATAGAAAAAATTTTTTTGCACTAATTATTCGTTTTCAGATCTATATAATCGATCTTCAACGTATGAAAAGTCTCACTCCAATAACCCACGACTTTTAAAACTCATAGTAGTCTCCCCTTAAGGGATGTTGGGGGAAATGGAAGCAACTTTTGCCACTGACCTAGTTTCTGCCAGCTTCCAGGGTCTCAAATGATTTTTAGAGGCTATCAATTGGAAAATTGACCGAAATATCAGAAATTAGTTGTGCGAATGCAAAGAGAATTCATTACTCTACATCTGAGAGTAAAGTTGTTGGGGAAAATCAACTTGTGCCGCTGACCGAGTTTGTGCCATCCTCAAGGGTCTCAAATGATTTTTAGAGGCTATCAATTGGGAAATTGACCGAAATAGTGGAAATTAGTTGTTCGATTGCAAAGAGAATTCATTACACCCCATCTGAGCGCAAAATTAATGCAATCGGATAGTTATAATTACATTCAATTCGATTATGGACACTCCCTTTACGTTTCCCAGTCGCAGGGTTATCGATTATTCTCTGGTTTTCAGGGGAAATTTGTAGCAGCTTTTGCGTCAAGCAACTTGGGTGACGTCTCCCCCAACACCCAAGGACCAAAGTGCGAATTTTCGGGTGAAGAATGTTCAGCGCAGTACACGTGCCCTGGGAAAAAGGAAAGGTGTTTTGCGTCAGGACCCGGAAAGGACATGTTCGAAAGCACCAGCATAATCGCTAGAAAACTCTTCACAGAGGCAGTCGTAAGTCCTCAAAAATTTCCATATTCAATAACTGATTTTATTCCCATAAAGGCAGTATCACACAGTTCGTCATTCATGTACAAATCGTAAAAAAGGTAAAGTTACGGGAAATAACTTTTAGTATCCGTAATCGTGGCTGAGATGTTGATGGGCTGGGTAATGGGGCACAATGTGCTTCACAATGGGGGCTGGATGAACAGCATGACCGATTTTCTTAACAACAGCGTTGAATCCATTGTGCGGATCAGCTGTGTAATCAACAACGCGAATTGTGCCGTCAGGCTCGTTTAGGCTGTATGATCCTTTCACAACGTCTCCATCACGCTCCTCGTGTTGGCTCTTGACATCACCGGTATGAGGATCGTTTACTCCGTAATTGAATGCGTACTTGGCGGGTGCCTGTAATCGGTGATGAGAATATTAACGGGCGATACCATTGATTGATTGATTGATTGATTGAGAATTTTATTACTGTATTAGGGGGCTACAACCCCTGCTCGCTTCGCTCGCCAACCTCCATGTGACCCCCACCATCCTTATTCTGACGCTCGTGATCCTTATTGAGACTCTTGCGACCCTTATCTGACCCTCATAATTCTTATTCTGACTCTCGGGGCCCTTGCGAGCTTTGCTCTGACCCTTGCGACCCTTATTCTGACCCTCATGACCCTGATTTTGAACCTCGCGATCCTTATTCTGACTCTTATGAGCATTATTTTGACCCTGATTACCATTATTCGAGCTCCGCGACCCTCGTTCTGACCCTTGCGACCCTTCTTGTGGGCCTTGCGACCCTTATTCTGACCCTCATAACCCTTATTATCGACCCTTACCCTCGTGACCCTTATTCAGACCCTTGCGACCCTTATTCTAAACCTCGTGACGTTTATTCTGACCCTTGCGACCCTTATTGTGACCCTCATGACCTTGATTTTGAACCTCGTGACCCTTATTCTGACCCTTGCGAACTTTCTAACCCTCATGGCTCTGATTTCGAACCTCGTGAACCTTATTTTGACCTTTATGAACCTTATTTTGACCTTTGTGACCCTTAATTGTTGCCTTAATTTCGACTACCAAATTTTTATCACCAATTAATTTTCAACATCAAGAAATATTATTTTAATTCGAAATGTAAATTTGAAAACTAGTTTCATCCAGTTGAGAAATTTCGAAAACCTCAAAATGTCGCGCAATTGCAAACAAGATTCCCGTAATGTACTCAATGTCCCCACTTAATCCCCTGTTTTCACCAACTAAAATTGCTCAAGACTTACGTGGTGATCATGGTGATCATGTCCGTGATGGTAGGATCCATAAGCTGGGTAAGCTCCGTAAGCTCCATAAACGTGAGGATTCACTCCGTAAGCCACTTGACTGACTGCGGGCTCCACAATTGTCGCATCGGTGAGAGCGTGCCCGTCATACCCGTATCCATAATCGTTATAACCGTTGTGAGCAATGTAAACTGCCTGGCTGGTGACAGCCATTGTTACAAGAACGACAAACTGGAAATTTGAATATTAGCTTTTAAGGGAAGTAAGCTTTCGGGCACTGCTTGAAAACCAGCCACTTCGTGGAGCGAATTATTCCGCTAATGAGTGCCTTTTAAGTAATTGCAGAATGAACGCTTTCGTGGGAAATTTTTTCCTCTGAAGGAACAACGGTCTTGACATTCGCCCGTGAAATCTTTTGTTTCTGCGCACAAACGACAGACTTAAAACTCGATTCATTAAAGGGTGAATTATTTTGGTAATTAATAATACAGCAGTTTTGAGATTTTTTTAATAAAATATATGACAGACTTCTTCGAAAGTTTTGTGAATATTTTAGAGATGTTTATAATTGAAAATCCATAATCTGACGAAACAATCAATGGAGACTGTAAATTTCAGGTGAATTATTTGATGAGAATAGAACCCGGGAAATTTCATGTCAATATATTTTTAATTTATTGAAAATTATGAGTAATTTGATACTAAATACTTTGATACTAAGATATTCGCATTTTTCTGCTGCGCTAAAATTGGAAATTCCATTGAATTTCTACAGAAATCCCTACAAATTGTACTAGCTCTATAAATTTATGTAAATTTTACTATAAATTTTGAATTATCTCAATAACAATTAATTGGGCAGCAATTTTTCAGGGACCTTTTTGGTAGAGAGCAAATGAAATTTGCGTCGACCACTGGTCGAGGAAAATAATCTCAAGTGAACTATTCAGTGTTTGATCAGACAGTATTCGGATGTCGCGCAAGGCGCCACGTGATCTCGACTACTGTACCCTGATTGGTCGAGCCCAGTGGTGTCAAAAAAATTCTTGATTTTTTCACATCTAATGAAAAAAAATTCAGATTCTAATCTTTGATTACAATGGAAATGTTGATTTTTACATAAGACACTGGGTTAAATTCTGATTTTCAAACATTTCTTTTTTGAAAAACCAAAACGATAATTAAATTGAGAAAAAAATTAGAATTCCGAATCTAACCGAGTTTTCTGCAACTTTTTTGCACTTTTCAATAATCATTGAATTTACCGTAATGGTAGAGCTACTTTAAGTCGACTTATCTCCCAGTTGAGTGTTTCTTGAATATCTCGGAATTTAATGAAGATAGCGGAATTTTTGTAAAAACTTTTTCGAGTCTTCACCTTTCTTTACAAAAAATATTTTCAGGAAAATTTCGCCAACTCCTTTAGAATTTGCGGCATTCACCGAGAACTGGCGCTATAGAATAGAATTGACTTGAACCGTTTGATCACTTAATTACTGAATTCACTCTACTTCTGTCAAAAACGCGTGAATACCTTGAGCATGGTTTCCTTTGGGCGTATAATCCGCTGATGGACAATGTAAATCGACTGATACTCCTCAAGTTGCGTTGAGAACTTTTATACTAAAACAACTGTAGTGCGTGCCAGCAGTCCCTCCCCCATTTAGTTCAGTTCTTCTGGTGCTCTAGGAGTTGTGCAATTCAAGGTTACGTACGTAATTTCGTTTTTTTCTAGTGCCACGATTAAACCCAGTAGTTTTTTTTGTATTCACGAATGTATATTCATCCGGGAGTGTCCTGCTCTTGGACATTAACACGGCTGAAGGTCGGCGGGGGAGCGGCGGGTGGGAGTTTTCTCCCGGGTGTGTGAGGTGGTAAAAAGTGGCTGCTTGAAGTGGAAAAAAAAGGATTGCGTCTATGAGTGTGAGGAAAGAAACCAGTGGGATTTTACTGGCCGGCGCGATTTGGCGCACAGGATCTCGTTACGGCTGATGGGTGCCACCCAAGGTAAACACTGGAATGCCGGTGGGACGCACGTTGGCCACTGACGATTTGGGTAAGGGTGGGAGTCGGTGTGCAGGAAGGGAAAAGTTTTAGTTTCCAGGCGCACACTGACAAAAACAAAGGGTTTTCAGAAATACGTCTTCACTTATATCAAGAAACTCTTGATTTGACAATTTTTAAGAGTAAAATATCTTGCACTAAGAAAATAACAACTTTCTTCAAGTCATTTTGTACTTTTCCTAAAGACGAGGACAATTCAGCAGCGAAGTGGTCAAACGGTTTAAAGTAGCTCTACCCTTACGGTAAATTCAGAGATTAAAACTGCAAAAAATTGCAGAAAACTCGATTAGATTCGGAATTCTAATTTTTTTTCTCAATTTAATTATCAATTTGGTTTTTCAAAGAGGAAATGTTTAAAAATCAGGGTTTAACCCAGGGTTTTATGTGAAAATCAACATTTCCATTGTAATCAAAGATTAAAATCTGAATTCTTTTTCATTAGATGTGAAAAAATCAAGAATTTTTTTGATACCTCGTAAAAAATAATCCACCGTTTTGCAAACAAGTTTTATTATTTATTTATAAGAGGGACATGTTTGAAAAAATATCAATATTTTGGGAAATTTAATTTAGATAATACTGACCGGGTATGAATTATTTCAAATTTTTTCCATGCAATTTAGTTGAAAAATTTAAAAATTGAAAATATCCAAAAGTACAGCGTAGCCTGGCCGAAGGGTAGAGCTACTTTAAGTCGATTTAGTACTTATTTGAGTTTTCCAGAAATATTTCCGAATTTAAGGGAGATAGCGAAATTTTCATAATGACCTTTTCGGTAGAGCGAATTGAGTGCTACTAAAAAGGTTATGAGAAAAATTCTGCTATCTCCCCTAGATTTCGCGATATTCATTGAAAAGTGGCCAATAGCCAAAATCGACTTGAACTTCGCTACTGAATTTATTGATGACAAGAAAACAATTTCTCAAAAAAAGTAAAATTGAATTCATTCATTTATTAATTTTTTAGTCTCAATTCTAAAATATCTTAATGTAAAATCCACTTTAATTGATTTGACAATTCGTTTTCTTGCCATGAAGAAATTGTCCTCATCTTTCGGACAAGTATAAAATTTCTTGGCGTAAGATTTTTTTCTTAGTGCGAGATATCGAGCGCTTGATAACTTTTAAGCCACGAATTTTTTTATACATTAGAAAATCTAGCGTTTGATATTGAGATGCTGTATATCATTTATGCGATTTTTTCTATTAAAATTATTGGACACGGATCTTCCAAGTTGTTTCCGCTATATTTTGTTTTGTTTTGTGTTATTCTTATAGAAAAAATTTCAAAAGAATACTCGAGAATACAACAGAATATAGAAAAATGGAATTTACTTTTTCCTATCAAATATCTCATAGAATCAACGCAAAAAAATCGAATTTTAACGAGAATTCCCTACAATTTTTATAGAATCCAATAGAATTTTCTAGTGAATTCGCCAAGTCTTTCTTGACGTGTGGCGAGTATGGCCCTGCATTCTATTTCTCACATCAACAATTACTACGTTGCCCCACTAAAAAATCATTTTACATTCTTTACTTGAATAATCAAGAAATCCTCCATTCAAGAAATCCTCCGTTCATTAAGAGCCCACAGAGCGAGTCAACATCATTACAGTCTCCATTATTAGAACGTGACAATAAGCGTCATAACCACTGGTTCCAATACTCGGCCCTCGCTCCCAATAGAATCGAGTGTTTACAACTCAGTCATCAGTCACCTTCTAGCATTGCTTCCCCTCAATAAACAAATCTCTGTCGCAACGAGTGTCGAAATGGATCAGAAGTGATCCCAACTGATTCGTGAAAAAAGGGAAAACACGTAGTCGATTGAAGAAAACGATAACTGTTACGTCCGATCCAGCGGCCTCGTGGGAGTACATGCTCCGGATGTTTTTTTTCTCCCCCTCTCTTCAACTCCTCCCTCTCGCTGCGCAAATTTCACATAATAATGCCAGGTAATATGTAACGGAGTGAAGCAATGAGTTGCATGTGTATCGAAACGGACGTATCATGGTCCATGACTGTTGGATGGACGTGGTTGTCAGTCTGGGTCTCACGTCCTTACGCAAAGGACTGTGACTGTTTCAATAACGTCATCATCCATTCAACATACGTAATGAGGCGAATTTAATTTAATGCACATTTTTATGGGCGCAATTCATGGGATAATGGATAAATGCTCCTGCAGGGAGCGAAATGTGCTGTGAGAATTGCCCTGACGACGATCGTAAATGTGTACATTGTTGCTAATTTTTGTCTGAATGTCAAATGCATTAGGAAAACTAGTGTCTGAGATTGAGATCTTTTATGTCATTTTTAGTGGCTCACACTTCGCTATTTAAAAATAAAATTCAACTACTTTCAATTATCAAATTTGGCGATTGAACTGCGGGAGACAAATTTGAAGAAGCAAATTATATTTTGCACGGAATTATTGTTTAAGCTTTCGGAAAACTGATTTTTTTAGGCATGAAATCGATTTCGGGTAAAATTCTGATTATGAATAAATTTGTTGCGATTCCAAACCAATGAGTTTATAGTGGAAAATTGATTGTTTATAAATTATTTATAGAAAATGTCCGTGATTTTCAAAAATTGCAATTTTTTAATTATTTCATGAATCTTCCTCGGAAAGTCAATTTTTTGGTTTTTGGTTCAAATTTTATTGCAAATTGTTGCAAATGTTTGAATACATTAGAAAAACCTGTGTCTGAGATTGAGATCCCTTATGTCATTTTTAGTGTCGCAAATGTAGATATTAAGCATATTCAAGTATGTTTTACAGTTTGGTATAAACCAAACAATAGATTCAACCATTTTCAATCACCAAATTTGTCAATTTAAAAAAAAATTGTCAATTAAATTGCGTGAGAAAAATTTGAAAAAAATTGTGAATATTCAGTATCACTCAAATTACATTCGTTGTTTAGAAATAAATAATTGAAATTATTTAAACTTTCGAAAAGCTCATTTTTTAAGGCATGAAATCGATTTCTGGTAAAATTGTAAATATGAATAAATTTGGTGATTCCAAAGAAATGATTTTTACAGTGGAAACTTAATTGTTCATAAATTACTTATAGAAAATTCCCGTAATTTTAAAAAATTGCAATTTTTAAAGTATTTCATCAATCTTCCTGTAAAGGTAAACTTGTCAGACCTGCCAAGTTTAAATAATAAAATCATTATAAAATATCCGGAACGTTAGGATCAAATGGGCTCAAATAAAAGCTCTGATGTTCGACTGCTATAATATAATAAGAATAATTTTTATCACATATTTTCATTTTCTCATTCACTCCACTAAGAATTGATGCTTCTCTCATATCTGCCGGTAAAATTCTCTAGGACACGCTCGTCGGATTAGGTGGAATTCAGTGCAGGAATTATGGGAATGTCCATGTTGGTCTCATTACTCTTTATTAACGGTTGAATAGCGTCAGTAAAGAATGATATGAGGGGAATTTCGATATTGATGATTCTCTTCTTGCAGAAGAAGTTTTGCCGCACCTTTCATCATAAATCATTTTATTTAATCAACAATCACCATAAATCAACTGAAAGTGCACAATCACATCAGTAATTCTAGAATTAATTTTTTCAATTGCTGAATGATTTGAAAAATCCGAGATTTGAGGGGACTTTTTTCACGAAGAAAATCCTATCCCACTTTTCTTTCATAGCATTCATTATATGAAGAATCGCCTAATTAGTAACACTCTCATATCATTTCGGAATTGAGATATAAATCTCTTCAGAAGATACAAAAAATTGTTGTCATACATTATTTCGTTTGCTCATTCGTCGATGAATTCAATAGTCACAAATTTTCCCCATTCTTTCACCTGTTCTTCGACATCAATCACAGAATTCTCGGTACCTCACAGAACTATTTTTTCTCTCAATAATCCCCGATATAACTTGTTAAAGAAAAAAGTCTCCCGACACCTTTCATCATAAGTCTCTTTATTTAATCAACAATCACCATAAATCAACTGAAAGTGCACAATAACATCAATAATTCTAGAATTAATTTTTTCAATTGCTGAATGATTTGAAAAATCCGAGATTTGAGGGGACTTTTTTCACGAAGAAAATCCTATCCCACTTTTTTTTATAGCATTCATTATATGAAGAATCGCCTAATTAGTAACACTCTCATATCATTTCGGAATTGAGACATAAATCTCTTCAGAAGATACAAAAAATTGTTGTCATACATTATTTCATTCACTCATTCGTCAATGAACTCAATAGTTACAAACGTCATTCACAGAATTCTCGGAACCTCGTAGAATTGTCTATTTTTTCCTCTCAATAATCCCCGACATAACTGGGATCATAATTAAGAATGTGCTGCGGGACTACGTGGTTGTTAACAGCCAGGGGATGGACGGCGTGTCCAATTTTCTTGACGACTGCATTGAAACCGTTGTGATCATCAGCTGTATACTCCACTACGCGAACAGTTCCATCTGGTTCAACGAGACTGTACGAACCTCTGACC